GGTTCTGTCCTTTGGGTCAGGTGATTTGATTTATTTGTTGTCAAATCAAATCCGATGGTTCGTATAATCAATGCCAAGAGAGAAAGGGGTGTTCTGGCTGAAACATTCCCATGGAGAAACCATTGGGAACCATAGGCACCTGGATAATTAAAAGAAAAAGGTGCAAAGCCTGAATATATTCCTTTGGTTTGCAGTGGATGGATCCCTGCTGATGAATGCCTAGTGAGCATAAATGAGCCACTTCTAAAGTTTGACTGGTATTTAAATTGGTTGCTAGTGTAGCTATAGGCGCATTTGGGATAATTCAGCAAATGCTTCCCAATCACAAAATCACACCTTTAATAGTAGCTGTTTTGTGTCGGGTTTTGCAAGTGCACATTGACAAAAGGTAGAGCACTCCAGCTGTGCAAAACCCAGCTGGCAGCTAAAGCATCAATATCATTCTCACCTAGCTATGTACTTGTACCCAGGAATCTAGGCTGGGATCATGGGAAATTGTCTTCTGACTCGAATTGGAGAAGTCTTACAATTCCACCACTGCTTTGGTTAAAACAAGCTAACAGGCTACAGATCCAATCATAAATTTTCTGCTCCTGTATTTATCTGTCTGGAGATATTTACGCCATAGTCTGCTACAGTTAATTAATTTTTATTACCCGAAAAAAATGGATAAATCCGCCTTTGCCTCAGTTGAGATAAAGCAGCATTGCAGTTGTTTGCTTTTGTTGCAGTATTTCAATTCCACATAATAGATCATTTATGTGAAGAGATATTGAATTAAGGGGATTAAGCAGTTGGAGATGACACAGGGCAGGCAGAAGAGATTTCTGTAAAGTTGATTTTTTTTGTGGTTGTAAAATTATAAACAGTCCCTCACTTTGTTCATTTTTCAATCTCATTTGTCAGATTATTTCATTAGTTGTTTTATTAACGTCATTCTCCACACGGGGACATATATATTCACGTATATATAACTGCCCAGATATTGCAAGATGACAAGGGAATTGTATTCTTGAAACTTGCTGGTGTGGCATGTCCTGCAGTAGCATTCTGTTAATATTAATGTCCCGCTGAACCACCATCTGGATAATCATTGAGACTTGGAGCAGCTGAACATTATTCTGTAAGATTTTCTTCTCCTCTTATGTGTAGATTTTTCCACTCGACAATTTGACATATTTATGTGATGCTAGAATGAAACACTTTCTGTTTTGGATAACTTTTGTCAGCATCAAGTGCTCTTCCATTTGTAATTCACCAAAGTCTGAAGAGACCATAGTCATCTCTCTCTCTCGGAGAGAGACAAGTGCCTATGGAATCATTATTACAACACATAGAAGGCCAGTCAGCCCATCGTGTCTTGCTGGTTCTATTACCCAATGCCAGTCTCCTGCTTTTTCCCCGTATCCATTGACACTGTTTCTATCCAAATAATCTTCAATAGCTTAAGGGTCACAACTCCACATCAAAAGACCAGCAACCTCTCCTCTACCCTAAAAATGAGTTGGCAAGATGATTGTTAACCTGTTTGGATATATTGTGGATGCTCTTCCCATGCCACCCCCCCACCCTCCGAGCAGGACTTGAATTTTGATCATCTGGCTCTGGTGTAGTGACAGGAACCTACTGAGTCACAAGAACTCCCCAAAGCACCCTTCAGTTCTGGCTTAATATCTAATCAGTGCACCTTAATCCCAATTTCAGAAGGATAGCTTGATTCCTATTTCTGACAGTCACCAGTCTGTGCAGATCTTCTGTGTGAGACGATTGGATTTGTTCCAATTCACAGGGAAGGGGTGGCTTCAGTATTGATTATGTGCTTGAGGTGTGACTACTGCCTTTGTTGGACATGTTTGTCTGTGTGTAATGATAGCGAACTGCTGCAGTCCCTTCCCATGCTGAACCTTTCCAACAGTATTACGGAATTACTTTGAAACAACAGTTTTAACTGAAAGGCTGTTACGTGAGGCAAAGGAGGATATAGTTGGGGTGCTGGCAATAATTTTCAGTTCCTCTCTGGCCACAGGAGAGATGCTAGAGGACTGGAGGATAGCCAATGTGGTACCATTATTCAAGAAGGGAGCAAGAGTTAAACCAGGAAAGTACAGGTCAATCAATCTAAATTTGGTGGTGGAGAAGCTGTTGGTTACAATTCTGAGGGAGTGAATTGATCTGTAGTTGGACAGAGACGGATTAGTCAAGAACAATCAACAAGGTTTTGCTAAGGGGCCAACTTGACTGAATTTTTTGAAGAGGTGACCAGGTATGTAGATGAGGGCAATGCATTCGATGTAGTCTACTTGGACTTCAGCAAGACTTTTGATAAGGTCCCGCATGGAAGACCAGCAGAAATGGTAAGAGCCCAAGGGTTCCAAGGAAATTTAGCTAATTAGATCCATAATTGGCCGAGTGGCAGGACAAAGAGGGTAATGGCTGAGGTGTGTTTTAGTGACTGGAAGCCTATGTCCAATTGGGTTCCGTACAGATAAGTGTTGGACCCCTGTTTATGGTGTACATACACAATTGAGATTTGAATATAGGAGGGTTGATCAGCAAGTTTGCAGATGATACAAAAATTGGTGGGTTGGTAAATAGTGAGGAGGATAGCCTTAGATTACAGGAGGATACAGACAGGCTGGTCAGATGGGCTGATCATTGGCAAATGGAGTTCAATCCAGGTAAGTGTGAGGTGATGCACTTGGGCAGGACAAACAAGACATGATGAATGGTAGGATCCTGGGAAGCACTGAGGATCAGAGGGACCTTGATGTGCATGTCCATGGATCCCTGAAGATAGCTGACAGATGGATACAGTGGTTGTGAAGGCATATGGGATACTTGCCTTTATTAGTCGAAGCATAGGGTTTATCGGCAGGGTGGTAATGCAGGAACTATATAAACTGTTGGTTAGACCACAATTAGAGTATTGTGCTAGTTCTAGAATCCACATTTCTTTTTGTTTTTATCACTCATGCAACATTAGTGTCATTGGCTGGGACAGCATTTCTTGCCCGTCCCTATTTGCCCTTGAGAAGGTGGTGGTGAGCTGCCTCCTTGAACCGCTGCAGTCCTCCTGCTGTGGGTTGACTCACAATGCCTTTAGGGAGGGAATTCCAGGATTTTGACCCAGTGACAGTGAAGGAACAGTGATATATTTCCAAGTCAGGATGGTGAGTGGCTTGGAGGGGACTCGCAGGGGGTGGTGTTCTCATATGTCTGCTGCCCTGTCCTTCTAGTTGGAAATGTTTATGGGTTTAGAAGGTGCTGTCTGAGGATCTTTGGTGAATTTCTGCAGTGCATCTTGTAGATAGTGCACACTGCTGCTACTGAGCTTCGGTGATGGAGGGAGTGGATGTAGTGCCAATCAAGCGGGTTGCTTTGTCCTGGATGGTGTCAAACTTCTTAAGTGTTGTTGGGGCTGCACTCATCCAGACAAGTGGGGAGTATTCCATCACACTCCTGACTTGTGCCTTGTAAGTGGACAGGCTTTGGGTGAAGTCAGGAGGTGAGTTAGTTCCCACAGTATTGCTAGCCCATGATCTGCTCTTGTAGCCACGATGTTTATGTGGCAAGTCCATTTGAGTTTCTGATCAGTGTTAACCCCAACATGTTAATAGTGGGGAATTCAGTGATGGTAGCACCATTGAAGGTAGAGTGACAATGATTAGATTCTCTTTTATTGAAGATGGCCATTGCCTGGCATATACATGATTTAAATATAGCTTACCATTTATTAGTCCAACCGTGAATATTGTCCAGATCTTTAAGGTTTTGGTATAGATTTGTAGCTCGGGTTGTGAGTGTTGAGGTTGGTTGTCTCACTGAGCTGGTTTGTTGTTCCGCAGACGTTTCGTTACCGTGCTTGGTAACATCCTCAGTGCAGCCTCTGATGAAGCGTCGGTGTGTTTTCCCGCCTGG